CCCTTCTCTTCAGAAGGAGCCACAGGAGAAGCTCCTCTCAAGTCTCAGCCCAGGGAAAGTTTTGCTTCTGGTGAATCACTTGTTCATCCTTCTCTTGCTGACACCTGACTGTGGCGGGATGCATTTCCCTCTTTGCTTTGGCCAGTAGGAAGCTCAGGGACAAATCGATGTCCTACCGGTAGCAACTATAGATAAAAGCTTATCAAGGTGCTGATTTTTATCTCTTGATTTATTAATTTCCTGATACTGTTTTCCATTCATTTATACCCTTTGATTATTTTTGTTGCCACCTCATCTTGTATAGCTTTTATAGTTCACCTCGCCCTGACCTACTCTGAGGAAGGGCAGGGTATGGTGTATACCCCAAACCACCACTCATACATAAATGCAACTCTTGAGAGCAGCGGAAAACAAGGGTGTCTCTGCCCTAGAAAACGTAACATAAACTAAACACCTGTTCACACAGGCAGACTTCACACCTCCAGAGTCTTGCCTGGGGGCATGGGAGTGGAATTTCTTCCAATCCTCTGGTTCTATAGCCCAGAAGAACCCAGTCAGATTGGAAACACGTCTGCTGTCGCACCTTACTTTAAATGTAGTGCAATTTCCAACTTGGCATTCCTGGCCATGCCCTTTGGTAGTTAGTCTAAAACACTAGCACGTTTTGAGAAGACAGTGCCCATGGTCTCCGCTCACCTGACTTAGTACTCCGAGTGCTGGTTCACGGGGTGAGTAGGTCATTGAGGTATGACACGCCAACTCGATGGGCTCCAGTCTCCAGAGAGACTCCAGAGAGACTCGCCCTCTGGCCCTGACACCCCATCTTGTCCATCATGAAAGTTGAGGGGTCTCCCGGCAGCATTTCTGTGCTTCCTGGAGTGACCTCAGTTAGGTCCCAAGTGCCATGGACCTTGGAGAGGTTGTGAGGAGGCTAAACCGCTGGACTTGTGTGGTGCGAGCCGTGGGCTGGGGCCGGGGCTGGCACCTCTGCTGGTATCCCCGTCTCGAAGTTCCTTCTCCTGCACAGCCTCCCCAAGGGCGCCCAGCCCAGGGCGGGGCTTCTCCTGCTGCCTTCTCCCGTGCAGTGCGGAGGCTGCAGTGCAGTCAGCAAGAGCAGATTCCCGCAGTGTGACTTGCCACAGCGGAGCAGGGATCCGAGAATGCATTTATAGTGAGACTTTAAAATAAGCCTTTTCATTCCTCTGCGTCAGGATAAGGTTTCCTAACCAAACAAAAGAAACCTGTAGTGTCTCAATGGATGCGCCAGAAAACGTGATGGCTTAGCTCTCTTTCTTTTTTTCTTTATTTATGCACACAAGAGCTGGGGTGTACGCCACAGGTGCAGGGGGTGAGAGGATCCACCAGAGACAGAGTGGGGAGCAGGACAGGCAGATCTCCTGAAATACACTGCTGATGGGCGCAGTGGGGAGATAGGAGAGGTCTGCTGCGCCGTGTGGGTCATCCCAGGCTGGGGATCGAACTCATGTTGCAGTGGCTGCTGATAGCTTCATAGTGCTGAGACTTAACCCCTGCACTAGCAGGGAGGCTTCACCCCCTTTCTTGCTGAGGTCTCGCCCTTCAGGTCCCTCCTGCTGTCTGTCTTTCACGCCCCTCTCGCAGTTTCCATGGCAACTGGTCACCTTGCATCCCCGACAGCCTCCAGCCTTCTTGTTTCTCCGCATCCTAGCAGACACCTGCTGTCTTTTGTTAGTCTGCAGTAGCCATCCTGACAGTTGTGAGGATGTGAGGTGTAAGCGAGCCCTGGGGTGGGGGCGGCACCCCAACTGAACCGCATGTGTCCCACGCTTACCCCAGAGTGGCGTGTGGCTCAGAGAACTCTTGGCTCCCTCTCGAAATTAAGAACCATTTTACTGTTTTGAGGACAGGCCCTGCCTTTGCTGTGGGGCTGGAGTGGGTACGGGGCGCTCAGGTGCCAGTGCTGCCTCCTCCTGGCTCTGAGATGAGAACAAGTCCCCATTCATTTGTGTCCTGGGTTTTACCTCTGAGCGAGACGGGAGTCCGGCACCATGGCAGGGCTGTCGCCAGGACCCACATCCACTGAGCTCTTGGGACAGCAGCCCACAGACGATGCTCTTCGCTCTTAGTATTTCTAGAACAATTAACAAGGGGAAAGCACTGGACTGTGAGGACCCCTGGGGCCCTCGAGCGCATATTTGTTAACTACCTGCTTGAGCCCAGCAGGTCGATGGACCTAGGGGGTGACCTCACCCCTCTTTGGGGCCAGACTCCCTCGGACTTATTACAAAAGCTGTGGGAGTGATAGAAACTGCGTCTCCATTCTGTTTCCCTTTGGCGCTAAAACAAAATAAATAGCAAAAAAAAATAGACTTTTTTCCATTGTTTTGAAGGGACAAGTTTTGTCAAGTGTCTGTCTGAGGATCTCAGGGGTCTTGTTTTTTCCAGAGTGAAAATAGGGAGGGAAGGCTTCAAGGGGCGAATTACATCTCGTAATAAGATGAAAACAGTCACCGTACCAGAAACTGTCCCTGTTTTAAATCCTTACACCTACTTTTTGGAAAGCCCCGGTGAGGTGCGACTTAAGAAGTCGCCCTCTCTCTGGATTTGATGAGGGGTGTATTTAATCATTAAATACAGGAAAGCTGCTGTGCCCTAGGCCTATAGCTTTTGGCTTCAGATGAGGAAATTAAATCATGAAGAATTGGAAGAGAAATTGTTGGTTGGAAGGGTTTACAGTCTTCAATATCCCCCTTTTCTGCACTGTAAATCTCTTGCACCTTTAAGATGTTTCATAATTAATTGCCTTGCTGGAGAAGAATTTATGGTACCTGGTGTGTAGCAGACACTCAGTGAAAATGGTCTAGAACACGAGCGAGTGAATGAGTCAGAACATTACGCAGCCGAGGCTTTATAGTTGTCACTTGAGTTCATTACCTGAGCAGCGTTTAAAACTTTTCCCCTAAGAACCAAATCCCTTTAAATCCCTTCCCTTGTAACGCCTCCTTGAGACGAATGGACCAAAACATGCACACTGCACTCCACTGCTGGAATTTTCCAAAGGGATCGGAAGCGAAGTCTCAAGACATCAGTGTTTTGATGGCAGGTCTTTGAGAGATAAGGGCCCAAAGCCAGGAAGAGCAGCCCGGGAGGAGATACCGCAGCGTGGGTGGCGTTGGAATACAGAGGGCCTGCCCCCCAGCCCACGCTCCTGGTGGTTCTCAGTCTCCTTCGTGTTAGTACAGCTGTGAGGGTGCCACCGGCCAGGGCTGTGGGTTCCCAGGGTAATCCCGAGCCCCGGGCGACCCCCACTCTCACCTTATCCACAGATAAGCCCCCTCCTTCCTCATGTCAGCCCTCAGCTCCCACCGCCATGTCAGCCCGGTGCGAGTGACACTGAGAACAAGCCTGGGTCGGGCACCAGCCCTCAGGGCCCAGGCCCCCAGTTTTCCCGGCCATGCACTTGCTGTGGCCTTTGGGTCCAGAATGACCTTTTGCGTTCTACCCGCCCTCTCTCACCCAGAGAGTGCCCTACGAGGCATCGGGTGGTTATTTTTTTTTAAAAGATTTATTTTATTTGCTTATGCATCCAAGAGCTGGGATGCTGGCTAGAGGTGCGGGGGGAGGGGTGAGAGAATTCACCAGATACAGCGTGGGGAGCAGAACAGGCGGATCCACTGAAATTCACTGTTGAGGGGAACAGCGGGGAGACAGGAGAGGTCTGCTGCGCCATGTGGGTCAGCTCCCTGGCCGGGGATTGAACTCCTGCTACAGTGGCTGCAGATAGCTTCACAGTGCTGAGACTAACCCCTGCGCCACCAGGGAGGCCGATCGGGTGGTTTTGTTCTTCCAGATGTGAAGGTGGAGCCCATGCCGAGCCTGGGGAGTCTGGCTCCAGGAATCTAACTAGCCAGGCACGGGGGAGAAAAAGGGGACTCACTGGTAGAACCCATGCCCCAGGGCTGCAGCAATCGCTGGCATTCAGAACCCTTGCAGAGCCCCAAGAATATGAAAACCCACGTGCTGGGTAGAGTTTGAGGCCATTTCTGGGAATCCTCTCAGAAGACACATCTGGGCGAGGACCTCAATCCTGGTGGACAGGCGGGCCGGGGAGCTCGCCGCGCTCACTTCTGGTCAGGCTGCATTTTCTATTTGGAATGTCCCCATTAGAGTCACACGTCCTGGGACTCTTGAAGCCGCCTCCCTGGCACGTGCCCTGGTGCCTTCTCTGCCCCTCGTGTCCACCCCGCTGGTCCTCAAAGCTCGGCTGCCCAGGCTGGCTGCGGGGATTGGAAATTCAGCTCGAGGATGTCGTTGCGAGGCCTTGCTGAGGCTGTCACGCTCGACCAGCCTCTCGGGTGTCCCTGGGGCCGCCTCCCGGCGTGTGTGCGTGTGGCCTGTGACTGTCACGGGGAGTTCCCTGCGCCGCGTCCGGGTGTCCCAGGTGGGGTTGCTGGCCGAGCACGAGAAGCCCATGGCGGCTCCGCCCCTGTGCCCGCCGGGCTTGGCTGCGTGGGCACTGGCGTGGTCCGCTCAGGCCGCCAGAGCAAAGTACCATAGATGTGGGGGCGTCAGGCACAGGCATTTATTTCTCACAGCCCGGACACAAGAAGCCCAAGGTCACGGCGCCGCGGTGTAGGTGTCTGGTGCCAGCTCCTCTCAGCCAGTGGCCACCTCCTCGCTGGTCTTGGGGGTGGGGCAGAGAGAACTCTCTGGTCACGCCTCTTCTGAGAGGGACACTAAGCACTTCCTGGAGGCCTCATATTTATGGCTTCATCTAAACCTAATTATCTCCCAAAGGTTGCGCCCCCAAACAGCACTGTGGCGGGGGAGGGCTGCCACGTGTGCATTTGGGAGGCCACAGACCACGCTCTCGAACACACTCTGTGTTTGCTATTTCCCGCTCCCCGCTCCTCCTTTCTTCCTGGCCCCCCACCTTGTCCCTCCTGGGCTTTCTCTGAGTGTGACAAGACCAGAGAGGTGTGCCCTGGGGACTCACTAATGGAAACATCTGTCTCCTCCAGGAACTCCCCCGATGAATGCAGTGTGGCGAAAGGCGGGAAGATGGTGGGCAGCCCGGACACCGTGGGCATGAGCTACGGCAGCTACCTGGAGGACAAGCACGTGCCCCCTCCCAACATGACCACCAGCGAGCGCAGAGTGATCGTCCCGGCAGGTCAGGTGCCCGCAGCACCCGGCCCTGTGGGCTCGCCTTCCGCAGCACGGCCAGCTTCCTCTTTTTATTTCATTGTAGCGCTCTTTATGGCGTAATGTTGGCTTACAGCACTGTGCATGGAGGGGTACCGGTCACCCCGTCAGATGCATGTGACCACCCCACACCCACCACCAAAGCCCCCTCGTCCTCTCCCGCAGCACATTGGACCCCGCTCCTTTGTTCCCCGCACCACCCCGCCTCTGGGAGCCTCAGTCTGTAGTTGGATTTGGAGGATTTGTTTTGCCTGTCCTTGGCTTTTTTATTTTTAAAGATTTATTTATTTATGCATACAAGAACTGGGGTACAGGCCGGAGGTGGGGGGTGTAAAAGGACTCACCAGAGACAGAGTGGGGAGAACAGGCGGATCTACTGAAATCCACTGCTGAGGGGAGCAGCGGGGAGACAGGAGAGGTCTGCTGCGCCATGTGGGTAGCTCCCTGGTTGGGGATCAAAATTGTGCCTCAGTGGCTGCGGAGTGCTTGACAGTGCTGCATCTTATCCCCTCGCGCCACCAGGGAGGCCCCTGTCCTGTTGTTTTTTTATATTCTGCAAAGCGTGACGTCACCTGGTGTTGGTCACCTGCTTCTGACGCCCTTCACTTGGTGGTCTAGAGTGGTGATTGTCAGTGGGAGCTGGCAGAAGTTTCTCCACCTGTGGAGACAGGACAGTTCAGAGTGCAGAGTACTCGGTAAAACACTGGACTTGGGTCCACGGATTGTGCTTCTCGCCAGGTTTGTCCCTGCGTGGCTTTGCGCAAACAGCCCGAAGCTGATCAGGGACAGTTAGGTATGAGAAGGATTGTCATTCCTGGGGACTCTCCCTGACCTTGAAGCACTTTGTCAGACCTTCACAGGTGACAGCAGAGGTAGTCTCGTGTGCCGGATGAGAGGGACAAAATGTCCCCTGATGGTCACAAAGGGTCACATGTGTGGATTGTTCGTGGCAAGTGGGCCACGTGCCCAAGGCCCCTAGCTTGGCGCCGTGCCTCGGAGCAGAGGGAAGTCCTGCTGAGCGGGGAGCGACTGGAAGTGCAGGTGTTCAAGGGGCTGTCCCAGGCACCTAGGGAAAGGAGGGGTGGGGAGTGCAGGCCTGCAGGTGCCCAGCCTCTGCCGTGTGTGGGCACGACAGGGCAGGAACACAGAGGACACCTGCCCAGACCATCTCACCCTTTGCCTAAAAGTCTCCCATTCGGGCGAATCAAGGTTTAGTTCTCAAAAGTGAAAGGATCAGTCTAGCGAAGGCCCAGGCGGAGGACTCCTGTCTTGGTTCCTGTGGAATCGCAGACTTGGGAGGGGAGGGCTGGGGCTGCTCAACGAGCGGCCTTTAACCAACGAGCTCTGATTTTGGGGTGCTGTCCATATGGTCTCATGTCATCATATCCTTGTCAGAAGGGTCAGACTTGAAGCTTTGTACATGAAGTGAAATGTTTGGACACCAGTAGCGAGATATATGTGGCAAAGAAGCAAAAAGCCAATTTAGTCACGTCGCTACAGCCACCATCTCTGTACGTAGTAGGTGCTCACTAAATGCTGGTTGGATGGATGGAAGGATGGTCATGCACAGTGGCTCATGGTCAGTTTTTGTGTGAAGACTGGTTTCGTCTCCTGAAGAAAGCCCTCTTTCGGCTCTTCCCTCCTTTGGTTGCTTCATGCCAGTGCAGGCAGTTATTCAGTTACGGTGTTTGTAAGACAGCTAGTTGTGGCTGATTTTGCAAGTTGTGAGTCTTTCAGTTATTGGTCAAGCTTCATGTAGGTGTGCTCATCCACAGACACACAGATGAACACACACCCACACACCCATGCATGTAAACACAATTTCATTGCACCATCTGGATAATTCCCCAACGTGGTCCTGAGGTTGCAGAACCTGGGGCTGGGGCAGGTCTATCAGCAGCTGCATCTGTGCCTCTAGCTGCAGCACCAGGTGCCTCGCTCAGCACATTCGGGGCAGAGAGTGCTCTGCGTATTCGGCAAGATTCTCCAAACTTGGTTCTGATTGGCCCATACTGGTCCTACTAGTTAAACATATTGATTAGCACTCGTAAATGCAAACCATAAAGACAGGTGTGTGAGAAAACATTACTTTTTGGCATTTGTACCCTCAGCCAATACATCACTTCATGCTCTAGACCTAAAAATGGTCCTGATGCAACTCACCAAAAAGCGGGTCTGCAGAGAGGGAGGTGAAACACAGGACGGGGGGCGGGGGGCTCTGTGTGTTCAGATCTGGAGCTCAGGTGTGAGGCATGATTTCTCACATCTCAAAGTCCTTGGTTTAAAGACTCACTGTATTTAATTAACTCTTAAGCCATAAAGAAATTCATAAGATAGCCCTAATCAATAAGTACATACCTTCCTTTATATTTATACTGCCTCCCTATTTTCCTTATTTCAGAATGGACTCGTGAAAGCTTATAGATATGTACCAGGGAGCAAGGTAGAGTCAGTTTAAATTCAGTTGACAAAGAGCATGAACTAAAGAGCTAAGCAGAGACCGTGAAAACAAGGGTGAGGTGTATGTATACATATGTGTGTATATATACACACTTCTTAAAAATGCACTTGCAAATCCTGCACAGTTAACAAAAGTTGGGTATTGTTTGGCTTCACGATATCAGCAGGCATTGGGAGATGGTCACCCCAATCAAATAGGTAATTCTGTGTCCTTAGGATTAAAACACTAATGTGGAGATGATGGCCTGGCTGCCATTCTAAACCTAGAGAACAGTGTATTTCTCAGTTTGCAGGGAAGGTTGAGAGGAAGGCACTCAACCAAGAGGGCCTGCGGGCATTCTGGGTAGCTCTGACTTCTACCTGTTTTCTTGGCAAGGTGGTTGTAGATCAGAGTGTCAATAAATAATAAGAGGGGCCCAAGTAGTGTGACCTGGATAACTCCCCAACGTGGTCCTGGGGTTGCAGAACCTGGGGCTGGGGCAGGTCTATCAGCAGCTGCATCTGTGCCTCCAGCTGCAGCACCAGGTGCCTCACTCAGCACATTCGGGGCAGAGAGTGCTCTGGGACAGTTTAATATCTCTTTGTTGGCCTAGCTAAATGTGGACACCAACTGGAAAATGTTTCTCAAGTATGGTCAGAACCACACGTGTCAGAATTACCTAGGAACCTTATGATTTAAAAATGCACATTTCCAAATTTTCTGAATATAGCCATGGTACTGAGGTTTCTAAACAGGTTGTTAACAGGTTCCTCAGTGATTTTCATGCACAAAAAGCTTTGAGAAACTAACCTAGCTAAAAGGTGCCAAGTAAATTTTACTTTAATGCACTTTATTTTTAATAAAGACATGAAATGTCACTTTTAGAACAGGGGAGTAGGCATAAAGGGAGGATAGAAAATAACTAATGATATCATATTGACATTCCAAAAAATGAAAAGTAAATGAAAAAAAATCACGCTTTTGGTAGGAAGGGAATTTTGTCTTTCTAAAGTTTCTCCAATAAGATGTATTACGGGGATGTGTTGATTTGACACAATCAGTTATATAGTCTGTGGTTCAAGGCATTCATAGGAAAACTGAGGCCCACTAGAGGCATGCAATACTGTGTCTAGAGGCATGCAATACTGTGTCTAGAGGCATGCAATACTGTGTCTAGAGGCATGCAATACTGTGTCTGATTCCAGTTGCTTTCACTTCTGCCTCACCTAGACTGTGAACATACATCAATACTTAGAAACAGTGGATCCCCACTCAACAACTGAACTTATTTGCTCTAAAGAACTTAAACTTTATGAGTCTCATGAAACATCTTCCAACAGCTGCCCCTCCGTGTGCAGGGTGAGTCTCTGGTAATCACTCTTACTTTTTAGGTATTGAGGGAGTAGTGTGCTAACCTAGAGGTCTGACAAAGAGGAAGGCACAGTCTTGGTTTACTTTCTTAAAAGTTGCAAAATGCTGACCGAAATGCAACAGCACCTCTGGTTTTTGGCAGCATCTAGTATTTTGAAAGTTTGTTCTTTTTCTCTTCTTATTACCTACATTGATCCTGCAGTGCTGAGCATCTCAAACATTTGTACTTCTATTTTTAAAATATCCATAGTGAGCAAAAGCAATCATGGTAGTCAGAAGTCGCAGAGAGAGATGCCACAGTCACCTCTGCACTGGTTTGCACTCTCCATTCACTCACCGAGTGGTTACTGTTTTCCAGTCCCTACAAATAAATCTCATGACTTAAAACCCCTTCTTTTTGGTCCCCAGAACACTTATGGCTGAAACTACTTGTATCGAGTCTTGCTCAAACCCTCCACGCTGGGCACTTTCTCCTCAATCCATGACATATTCACTGAGTATTCATTGGCCATTGCTCTGCTGCTACTCACAGAGATCACCACAGCCTGGCAGGAGTAGATCAGACCCATGGACAGGGAGGAGAGAGTGTAATTTAGAGCTCAAATGAGTAATTCAGACAAACAGCATCTAAGGAATGAGCTTAGATGAACATGGCTGGTCAAGAACAGCTTCATTTGTGCACTTTGTGTTACAATTCCTAACTCCCTTGCATCCCCTGCCATCTTCCTAGGCCCTGTCCTGTACTCTGGTCACATGACTCTGCTCTCTGGGGCTGCCTTTCCACTGCCCAGCATCTTTCTCCAGCGTGTTCCCTCTGCTGTAGTATCCTTCCTTCTTTCTCCACCAACAAATCCTTCTCATTCTTCAGGGAAACTTGGAAATCCACCCTGGGTAGGAAGCCATCTTTAATCTTCTGGCCACTGAACTGCTTCTCTTATGACATTTTACCAATTCTGTTATTATCATGGTTTATTTTTCTTCATATTATTTTCTCTAATGCTGCTATATAGTTACTTAGATATAGATGTACCATTTCATTCCATGAAGGAATTGATATGCTTTATGAGCCAAACTGCTGATAAACATGTGAACCAAACTGCTGATCAAATAGAAAACAGGCATCAGTACCAAGATAATTAGAAATTCTAATGGAAAAC